AATATATATATAATATAATACATATTTGTTTTTGGTTTGGAAATTTTTACAAGATTACTCTCAAGAATCTAATTTATGGATTAAATATTTAAACTTAATTTTTCATCAATGTAGCCTTGCCTTACAGGGTAAGGCAAGGCTACATTCCGTTAGTTTTAAAATCATAAAACGATATGAAACTTTACGGAAAAATAACACGTTTTTACATGCTTACAATTATATTATATAACCATGACTGTTTCCTGAAAGGACAAAAATATCATTGATGTATATTCAGAAATATAAACATCATTGCTAATCGGAATAATCTCGAAAAAGCTTCACTCCACACTACAAAGTGATATTGCATTCAATAATGTTGATGAAGCGATAATCTTGATATTCCATTGCTTTTTAAACACGCAAAATTTTCAATAAGATCAGATAAATAAGAATAAGTTAGAATATTTCTATAAGATTAATCATTAGATTAATCGCTTACTGCATTTGTTGGATGCATGCAGACATAAGTGGACAATCACCAAAAAGAAGAGAATGAAAATAAAATAGCCGGGGGTAGGCAAGTCACGAGGAAACGAAGCGAGAGATAGAGGCGATTTTTAAGTTGTGTAATTTTCGAATGATAGTGTGAATAACGGACGCGTGACGTTAAAAAATCTTTAAGACGGGGGGCTTAGGAGGTCGGAGAAAAGGAGGTTGAAAAGGAAAAGAAAGAGATATCACGTCTGATTCCTGATGGTCGCGTGAGTCCTCCTCTTTGTTTTCCCTCCGCCTCACTTGGTTGGACAGCTCGCTCGGGGCGAAAATCTAACGCGCGTAAACCAACACACAATGCGCCGCCACTACAAACTTTACTCCATGGCATTCGCCGTTGCCTCCATTTGCCAGCTAGCCAGTTCGGGCTAATCACTTTCCTGCTTGCTAGCCCGTCTGTTTGCTTGTTACCTACCGCACTTACTACTCCTGATACTAACATTACTATCTCCTACTGTCACTACGTACGTCTACTACTACCAGCGTTACCACTACCTCATGTTACTACAACAGTCCAACCACCACTACCGGCATTGCTGTGGCTACAACCTACGAGCACGTTTTATGAATGAAACCCACGTGCAAACCACGTGACCTACCGTCACTGACCCTACGTACATAATGCTAATGATTGGGTCCACTTTATAATTATGACGTAATTCTTTGCAGCTTCCTCTTCCGTCCGTTAATTGAAATCAATGTAATCGACTTATTCTACCGAATTACTGAAAATATATTCGTATTGTTGGATATTTGAATGCTTATTAAAAGCTTTCATAATTAATAGATACGTATTCTACATGTATGTATACACATATATACGTGCACGCGCGCAATCTGTGTGCGTTGCATACGCGTATGCGCGCGCGCGCGCGCGCGCGTGTGTGTGTGTGTGTGTGTGAATTAATGTTTGTGTATGTGCGGGTAGAGCGGTTTAAAGTAAGCAAGTCAAAAGTTCTCTGTGAGTTTGCGATTTTCGTAATTAATGATGAGTTGTTAATCAGTAAAAATTGCCGAATAATATGTATCCATCTGATCACCGGCAAATGCAATACGCGTGGCGAGATATGACCATTTAACGTCTAAATGTTCACTCGACTTAGGAACGCGACGAAATGTTTGGAGGTGTGCACTATAATCTGATGCTCTGTCATTTGTAGACCACAAATGTCCAAATATCTCGCTACACTTCTAGCAACCACGCTGGTGATCGCATCACGCTTTTGCCAATGAGCCGGGCAGATGTACAGAGTGTCTCATTTTATTGTAAACAGTCAAATATCCGGAAATTATGGAATTATAAAAAAAGAAAAAAATGTTTCGTAATAAAAGTGATTTCGAAGGAATCACGTGATTATAATACTGATTCACTTGCAGATACGCCACTGTCGAAATTTTTTATAGTATTTATAGTTATTATTTTTTAAAATGGTATCATATGTTTTTTGTTATGTAATATGATTTTTCTAATTATTCTGGATATAAAAGTATTAAGATATAGTTATTTAAAAGTCAGTACTTTATGAGATATTTTACACTTTGTTCTGACATATTTTGATATACATTTTGACATAAAACATAAAATATGTTGTAAACTATTCATTTTTTAATAACCGTACTTTAATACTTTTATGCATAACATAATGAAACAAATTGATTAATATAGAGAAAACATATAGTTGTTTTTTAATAAAAGTATGCATATTTTTTTAATAAAAGTATTTGCATATTGTTAACATTGCTGCATGATTTTTTTAAAGCATTTATGTATCTTCTTTACGCCAATTGATTTATCTCATTATTCTATGCATAAAAGTATTAAGCATTAAAATACAATTATTAAAAAATAGATAGTTTATGAGATATTATAGGTTTTGTCAAAATATCTCTGAACAAAATATAAAATATCTCGTCAACTATTGACATTTGTACCTTAGTATCCAGAACAATTAGAGAAATCGTATTATATACCAAAAAATATGTACGAGTTCATTTAAAAATAATAATGCCTATTAAAAATGGCTATTGAGAAATAGTGACTAAAAAATGTTCGATAATGATATCATTTGTGAATAAATCAATATCATAATCATAATCTGAAAGTTTATAATTTTTATACATTTTTTTATCCCGTAATTTCTAAATATTTAACTATTTAAAATAAAATGGGACCCCCTCCCTCCCACATACGTACATACACACATAACTGTTTTAATATCTTGATATCTAATTTAAAAAATTACGAGCACTATAGAAGATTATTCAGTATTATACGAATATATTATATTATGTATCTACAGTTAATTAATAATTAATAGTTAATTAATTAATATAATAAATTCTATCAATATCTCAATTTAACCCTTTTGCTGCAGGCAATGTATATACAAGTTTTGGAAAACCAATTGTCGCGGACATGTTGCTGTATGCATACGTTATAAAAAAGTCATTGTAAATGCTATATATGTGCAACAGTGCATAGATAATAAATACATGTAGAAAACTAGTGTCAAAACAAGACTAAATTGTTCGACGCAATAGCTCTGTTAAAAAATTTTTGTTAAGGGATTTAAGTTACGAATTAAATGTGGACTTAAAACAATACACTATTGATTGAAACGTACTATGAAAAGATTAAAAAGCTTGATCCCATAGAAATAATATAAAATAAAATATTGATTTTAGTTTTGTATATATATATATATATATATACACATATACATGTGTGTTGTGTTGTTTTGTGTATATGATTCTGTGCGTGTGTGTGTGTGCGTGTGTGTGTGTAGTCTTAGAAAATTAAAATTT